AAAACAGTATTTGACTAATATAGAAGATCAGTATAACAAAACCAAAGAAGAAAGAAAAAATACTTAAAAAAAAATATACAAATTAAAGTAACAAAAATTAAAAAGAAACAATAAACAAACTAAAGTTATAAGATTACAGAAAACAAGCTAAACTATCAAAAAAAGGACAAATTCAAGCTCTAGTACAAAAAAGAAAACAAATTCAAGCCTGAATACAAGTCTGAAAAAGAAAAAAAAGAAAACTAAGCTAAAAATTCAAAAGAAAAAGAAAAAAATAAGATTCTTTAAGAGACCACAAAGAAAAAAAAATATAATGAGCTACAGAAAATAAAAAAATGAAGAAAAAAATATATATAAATTAGAAAAGATAGTTTATAAAGAAAAATATACAATTTTTATCAATAGAGCAGTCAATAAGAATATATATAATCAAATCACAAGTCAAGGTTTCAGCTATAGTATATTAGAAAAAATTTGATGATTATTGACAAAGTTGATAGCTTTCAACTAAGGATCAGAGAGATTAAATTCTTAGAAAGTTAAGAATCTAATATAAGGTAAATTGGTTGCTTAAGTAGATTACACCTAGGCTTTAATAGTTGAGTGAGTTTTTATTAATACAGAAATATAGTATAGAATTTATATTTAATATAAATATAAAGTTTTGGTACTTTCGGTTTAATTATAAAAACAAAATCACTAAAAAAAAAAATTAAAATTTATTTATTCTATTAAATATAATTTGCCAAACTTATATTCTTTTTTTATTTTTGTATTAAAATTTTTAGATACAAACTTTTTTCTGTATATATCTAATAATAAATAGTAGCTAAATATTGTCACAGATTATCATAAAATCAGATTATCATGAAATCTACATGACCTGTACCTGTATATCATTTTATGTGATACAAGAGTCAATATTCTAAAAATTTTGAATCTATAACTAGTGCTACTAGACTATTTATATTAGTGTTAGAATTAGAGTTTAGAACTTGACACAATGTTATTCTGAGGGTTTTAAGACAGTTAGACTTAGTATATATCAGAAACGTATTTTGAAGGTTTTTAAATACCAGAAACTATATCGAGTTTTTGTTAGATTTAAAATATATTAGGAATGTATTCTGGTGTCTTATAAAGGCCAGGAACTTTATTGATTTTTGGTTAGATTTATTAAGTTCAACGATTTATAAATATATCAGGAATATATTCTGAGAGCTTCAAAAGGCTAATAATTATATTGATTTTTGGTTAGATTTATTTAAGTCTAACTGTCCTTATTATCTCATAAATAAATCTAACAATTTATAAACATATCAGGAATACATTCTGGGGGCTCAAAAGCCTTGAAATTATATTAATTTTTTTAGTTATATTTATTAATGATTTTAGATTCATTAGATTTATTTATGAATAACTCTAACTATTCAAGAATTACTTCTAGAGAGATTTAAACGTTAATTAGCATATCAAGTATCACGTGACTTGTTTAATCTAACGAAATTACTTATAGACAAGAATAGCTTCTACAAGCTCTAGCTCATTAAATAGTATAATTATTAGAAAAGTCTAACGAGAATTTTGTCCCAACTTTTCCTTCCGCCCTGCCAGAAAAATTATATATCACAAAAACAATTCTGGTAATCTCTAGCTCATAAAAATGATCTAATAAATCTAGTAAAAAAATATGAGCAATATATACATTACATCACCTGCTATACTCTTGGTATATTCTAGGATTAAAGCTTCAGCCCACAATCTATCATGATACTGGGTAACATAGTACCCTCTGATATGTGCTAGGCATCATCTACAAGCAGAGGCTGTAGGCTTTCCACAATCAGAACATGGTACTCGTTTTTTAGCTTCTAATGAAACTGACATCCTTCAGGCCTAGTACTAGCATTCCCACAAGCCTTTCCGGTATTGCAAAAAAATAGGCAAGAATATTCGCTGATTATCCTACTTTTTATTACTAGATTCGAAAAGATTAATTAATAATTAGTTAATGCTTCAGTTTTGCAATAGCTAGAATCGCTTTAGAAAGCTTGTAAATACTTATCATCGGTTTTCACTAGGGTTTATATGATCGAAAATTGATAAGTGCATATCAAATAATTAATTAAAAAAAATTTATAAGTAAGTAATAGTGTGACGGTTAGAGATAACACCATGGTTAGAAAAACAAGAAGTGATAAAAAAGATACAATCTGTAAATGTTGTGGTCATGAATGTTCAACACCCCAAAAACTTCGTGAGCATCTTAAGCGAAAAAATCTATGTAAACCATTACAAGATAAAAAGGATATAGCTCCTATTCAAGTGTCTATTCAAGAGGTTAACCAAGATAATAATCAAGGAAAAGTGCAAGTTCAAACTTCCGTAGTCCATGCTCAAAAAAGAGATCATCAAAGAAAAAAGGTACAAGCGGTTAACCAAACACCAGTATATAAGCCAGAACTGCAAAGGGAAGCCCAACTACACATGATAGAGATTATAACGGAGTAAGGAATGAGTATATTGATAGGCATGCAAGAAAGTCTGAGGAACATTTGAGAACCTGGGGTGCAAGATTACACCAAAGATAGAATGAAGTAACTGGTGAAGAACGTATTTTGCCAACAACATTAAAAAATTGTCAGCTTCTACATCATGATCTATTACAGGCTGATGATGAGGCTTTTGAAAAGGTTCAAATTGATTCTAAAGCCAGCCCTGGTCCAGCAAGCCAAGCTAATAGAGAAAAAGCAAATAATGAAGAATTTAGACGTTTGAGAAAAATTACTGAAGAAGAACAAGAAAGAAATCTAGAATTTAGGGAGCAAGAAGAATTAGGCACGGCACTTAAAAGAAGAGCTATAGCCGTACATCATGCAAAAGTTCCCAAATTCTATCCAGATAATGGTAGTGATATACGAAAAATGTTAAAGAGTAAAAGGAAGCAGTTTAGAGAAATACTTGAAAAAAAATTTGATAAGCGTGGACAATTTAAATTCGCTCTATATTCTCTTACTAAATTTCTTATAGATGATAAACCTGGAAATGAAAATCAGGGAAAAAAGAATTCACGAATTGACTGGCTTAGAAATAAGCAAATTATAGTTTATAATAGAGATGAAATAGATAATTACTTAAGCAATACTTTCGAACAAATTCTATACCAAGTGGAGGAGAGAGGAGGTAAGACTAATTCTTGAGAATATATTTGGATGGTAATACTGTGTCTGGCGGGACGGTTTGTAATTCTTCTCTTACAAATGAGCGTCTAGGACTCTTGTAAAGCTTGTAGATAATAGGTTGATTTTTTTTTTAACAAATAAGAATTAATTGTAAAGACTTCAAGAGACCAATTGCAATCGGTTGCTCTTCTTCTTTCACCTTCTAATTCACCAGGTTCTAAAAGGTGCTGAACTTCTGTATAATTAGGTAAAAGAGGTTCATTATAACCAACTGGTCTCCTGTGCTTTACCAAAGGTCTAGCTATTATTTTTTTTCCTTTTAATGCTTGTTTTACAGCTTTATTAGGAGACATATCTATCAATTGGGTAGAAGTATAATTATAAATATTGTCATTTATACAAAGACCCTTAACCCATGATCTAGATTTATCAGTTAAAGGTAAATAAAAATCTTCTGCATCTTGCCGAAAATAAGCATGCTTTTCAAATTCTTGATGGTCATGTTTAGCAATAGCTACACCACGTTTAGAGTTAGCATACTGAATTTTTACACTATAGCTAAGTAATAAATCTCTACACTCGCCCAAAAATTCTGTACCTTTATCAACAATTAAAACATTTGGCCAAATAAGAGGGCAATTTGGGTTATCATAAATTTTTTGAAATGCTTTAGCTACTTGTGCAGAAGATTTATTAGTTAAAGCAAAACTACAACGAAACCTAGTAGCCACATCTTTTATTACAAGCCTATGCTTATAAATTCGATTACCTACTTTATCATGAGGTATGGGAGTAGTATCGGATTGATACACATTATTTAGATCTTGTATATCATTAAAAGAAGTATACTAAATAAACTTTGGTCGAGACTTGTGAATTTGATGCAAAGCTTGTCTGTTTAGCCAATTTTTAATCTCAATAAGAGAAAACCTATATTTGGCTTTCTTGCAAGCATCCAGCATTTTTTCAGCAGTTTGAAAATAACCCTCTGGTTGATAATAAAGCTTCTGCAAAGTAAGATTCCGGTCAAGATCATGTGCTCTCTGAGAATTGATATAAATAACCGGTTTTTCTATTCTGATTCTCTTTTATGGATTTAGCAATTTCTCGATCAATATAAATTATAGTAAATAAAAAATAGAGAAATTACAACAAAGTAATTAAGAACTCCACGAGGTAGTATCCTAATTAGCAGAATCAAATAGGAATTTCAAACAACGATTATATACCTTAGAAAGAGTTATTAGTATACGGGAAGAAAGAATTCAATTTCTTGAAGAAGAGTTAAATAATGCTATCGAACTTTCTAAACAAGACAAAGAAGAATTAACAGAAAAAATTTCAAAATTAAAAAGAATTGTCTGACAGCTTGAAGAAGAAAATAAAAAGAAAGACAAAGAAATTTTCAATAAAGATAAATTGATATCAAAATTCGATAAATGTGAAACCAAATTAAAAACCCAAATATGAGAAATATCAAAATCTGCAGGCAATACTCCCAAAGCGCAAAATTATACAACCAGATTAGTGGATGAGAATAAACATCTTAAACGAGAAATAAATATGGTAAGAACTAATCAAATAAATAGGATTAACAAATTAACCTAACAAAAAAACCATATCACAGATTTGCTTTGTCAAAATTTTGCATTAACATTATTGAGATATAGAGATAGGTTAGAGCTTATAAATATACGAGAAGCTTTACAAAACACACAGGCATAGAATTTAAATAAAAATGAAACTGCTTTTGATAAAAATTCTCTAGACTTGTATAATCCTAATATTAACTTAGAAATGGC